GATTAATGAATGAAAGAAAAAGAAAAGGTTAATGTTGAAAAAAATTGTAGTGGCTCTTTCTATGTTGTTGATGTTTCAATTGATGTTATGTTAAGTTTCTTTTAACTTTTACGTCCGACCTCTGTTCCCGCCTCGCACTTGCGAGCTAACCGGGCCGGGTCGTGACATGCTCGGGAGGGAGAAAGGGTCTTCACAGTCGGCTAGCTCTTGTTGCTTCCGATCGGAATGAGTGACTTCCGACCTGACGGGAAGAAAGTCGTTGAATGGGCGAACTCGGACAGCACCGGAGGAGCTGGGGAGGTTCGGTCGTGGTTCCAGAGGGCGGGGCTCGACGGGCTCCAGTCGTTTCTTCCGATCAAAATGTCGCAGCTTCCGATTGTGGGAAGGAGAGAGAGAGATCGAGCACGAGAGAGGGATAGGGAGAGGAAGGGAGGCCGAAGGCCTCGCTCTCGCTTCCTTTTAATGACGCGAGGCTGTCGTGCGATGAAATGACGCGAGGTCGTGCGACGACGTGCGAGGGTCGTGCGAGATCCGGGCGACGTGCGCTGCTCAGGTACGACGATTTTGCGACCTTTTTTTTTCGGTTCGTAGGTCAACATGCGGGAACATATTAGATCAAGTAAAACTTGGGGCCAGATTTGAAGCAAACCAAATGATTGGTCATGTGCCTTTTTCAAGTGGTATTCTTTCCAATGCTTGATCTAATATGATCATCCCAATTGAATCAGGTCAAGTTGCCATCATTTTTTTATTTCATGTTGTGTGGATCAATTCTCCGATCTCAACCATGATGTTTTGGCCTTTTCATTGCTTGATGCTCCTTTCTTAGTGTTCAATTGGTGGTTTTTTATTGTTTAGTTTATTGGTTGATATACTTCTGCATACGGTTGTGCATGAATCGAGCTGAGCTGAGTCGAAGACCTTACAAAAGACTTTTTTGAGCTTGGATCAAACTCAATTCGACCTTTTGCAATAATGTTCAAACTCGGTTTGTTACATTCGTACTTATTTGAGCTTTGGTTTAAGCTTGGCTCATGTTGTGCTTAGTGCTTTAGATGAGTAGATTTTTCGGAAACATAAAATGAGTCTTATTGAGCCAAGCTTGTTGGGCTTAAAAAGTAACTATAGTTTAACAATTTTTATATTAAAATGAGCCTTAAATCCTATCCAATAATATCCACCAATGAGCATTTATCCTAACTATTCTGCATTCCCCAGCGCCCTGTATGGTTTACAAGCTCATGTTATTGAAATTGAAACTACAATATAAACAATGATAAATAACTTCCCAAGTGATATGGGTAAACAGCTAAAACTGTAAATTTTTTAGCTAGCATAGATACAATCGAAATTACAGCTTAAATTGTTTAATCAAAATTTTAATTTTATTTTTTAATTTATTTGACTAGTCTTCTATTTATAGATTTTTTAACGGCAAAATCGAAAGAAATTTATTTATTTAATTGATGGCTTCTATTTTTAGGTTTATTTCATTTAACAAGAAAGTAATTTAATTTTAAATTATTTTAAATTATATTTTTAGTTATAACTTTACATTGAATTTTAACTCAATCACAGATAACTTAATTAATTAAGTGTTAAATATACAATGCAAATAATATATTTATTTCATGTCTAAATACTATAAATCCATATATGTATATAATTGAGCTTTATATCAAGCCTTATTAACAAATATTATGTCAAGCTCTAATCAAACTTCGTAATGAACTTATTCATGAGCTTTAAACTATATTGTTTATGGTTTTAAATGAATCATGGAACAATTTTCTCTATCATTTACCTAATGAGTATTTATAGAAGTGTTAAATTTGTTCAATTATTTAATGAAATGAACATGAAATAGCTCTTATCGAGTCGAATCACAAATAACTTGTCAAATGGTTACATTCATTTCTTTGGTTCAGCTACATTCTTTTTTTTTTTATTTTATCTTAGAGGTCATATAGATTCTTATTTGCATTTTACACCGGTTTAATGGATAGTCAATATTAGTAGAGGATATATTGATACTTAGGTTTAGATTTAACTATTTAGGATCTATTATACAAACAAAGAATATAGATTGTAATATAGCTTCTAAGGATGAGTAAATAAAATATAGAGATGTATCACTTGAATTATGTAGTGAGAGATTATCTTGGAGATTTAGAAGTAAATTATATAAAATTGCAAGTAGGCAAGTTAGGTTATATAGATCCAAGTGTTGGGTAGTAAAAAAAATGTCATTGATAGCCAAGTTGAGCTTCATTGAAATGAGAATGTGATGGAAAAACTCAAAAGGATAAATTGATTAATTGGAGGGATACATGAGTAATATTTATTGAAGATAAGATAGTAGATAATAGGCATAGATGGTTTAAATATGTACAGCATAGTGAAGAAAATACACCTTTTAAATGAGTATATAAAGTTAGTGTAGAAGAATTAGAAAGAAAAAAAGTAGACCTAAGATAGTATTGAGAAAAGTAAAAAAAAAAAGATAAATATCTCTTGTAGCACTTAAATGGGATGAATGAAAAAAGAAGATTTCTAAAGCTGACCCAAAATTGTTGGGATAAGGCTAATGATGATGATGATGATGATGATGATGTGACATTAGTGTTAATCCAACTATTTGTGGTCATCATAAAGAATTCTCATTTGTCATTCGTTCTTATTTGAGCACAGCATGATGCACCAAATTTATTCTTGTAATTTATTTTGAACTTTTGTCCATTTTAGCTTAGATCTATCCCTTTTTTCTTCTTAATACCGACTCTAATTTCATCTGCCCTTCGTAGGCATGCATTTTGTTCTCATTATTATGTATGCTCAAATCAGCCAAGTTTATTTTAATTGGCCTTAATTTATAGATGTTACTATAATAATTTCTCTAATATAATCATTATTTAATTTATACTTCCTAGTTTTACTGCACATTTAAATTTTGTCCTTATGAATGTAAAGTACGTACTCTAGTTAATGTTTTTATGCTATACTTCTGAAACATTCTTTTTAGTTTAGTCTTGAATAATAATTAAAGAATATTTGTGGCAAAGGTAATTTGAAATTATTGGTTTATGTAATTTGAATTTATTACATAATAGAATAATGATTCTTAAAATAGTGGATATAACTTCTCAAGTTAACGTTGGGTGGTTAAAAAGAACAAGTGTCTCAACATACTATGTGATAAAAAAATCCCATAGATTTAATGGTAAATTTTATAAATTTGCCGTTGGAATGCTTATGTTATATGATCTAAATATTTTAGGGGTTTAGGAAGCCATTTATGGCCAAGTTGATGAGAATATTAAGATGAACCAATGGTCAAACTTGAAAGGATATATTATATGAGAGGGATCGTACCATTCATTGGGAAATATTGACCCATAATTATCAGCTGAACTCCTATTAAAATTACATATCATGCACTAATGCTAGGTGGTTAAAATGGAAAAGTTCTGCAGAAAATATTTTAACACTCCAAACACTACTAACAAATGGAGAGTGAGAATTCCTAAAGTCAACTCGAAATAGTTGTGATAGGACTAATGATGATGATGGTGATGATATATATATATATATATATATATATATATATATATATATATACTAAAAGGAGCAAGAGCATCTTATTTGAAGGTATCTTCAAATTCTTGGAATTCATAACTTGTTGGGATCTTCGGAGGATTGTATGATTTGTCCATTTTTAATTTGGCCTCATTTGGGGTCTCTACTCTGAATTTTGGGTGGACTGGAACATGCCTTGTTGATTAATATATTTCTTGGTTCGTAGCTGATATATATCCGGCCCTTATTGCTAGCTTTATGTTTGTAGTTTATGGATTGTTGGGAACATTTCCTAGAGTATGATCAGGTATTATGAATTTCACTAAGGGCATGGAGGTTGTGAGGTATCCTCACAACCCAGGGGTAATGTTTTGTGACTTATGGTTAGATCTTGATACTTTCACAGTACCCTTTTGACTTATTATTTGTTATTGTTTATTTTTAATGTGCACCCCAAAAAATGTAAAAAAAAAAACTTAGTTATTTTGCCACCTAGAAAATTTGTTTATGTCCATTTTCTTGTAAAATAAAATAATGGTTTTCTTTTCTTTCAGAACTAAGAAAATTGCTAGAGTACTATTTCATGTCATTGCTTACCATTTGAGCGAGATTTAGTAATACCTTTTTTATTATCTTTAACATTTATGCTTATATTTATTGTTGATTAATCTTGCTTTATCATATTCTCTTGTGAGTTGATATAGTTGTGGTGCAGATGTGTTGTGGCCTATGCTTCAGATCTCTTGTTCTCTGGTGTTAGCCTAGATCCTCACAGGCAGAAGGGTCTCAAGACTGCGTCACTCAGTCTGGATCACTCGTACGTTTTGAGATTCTTTACCTTAAAAAGCCTATGTATTCCCCGTGTTGATTGCTATTTTTTGTGGATTGCTTAAATTTCAAACCAGTTTAATAATTAGTGATTTTTAGTTGCGTGAGTTTGTCTATTACTTTTTTTAAAGAATCATATTCTATTTTATTAAAATAGTGCATATCTTGCAAAAGATAAGCATCATTTACTTTTTGTAGCTATATCTTAAAGTAACTATAGGTCATGCGGGTCAGAGAAAATTGCTTAAAAATAAGTCCTTATTCTGTTTTTCCTTGTAGTTTTCTTGGGATATGTAGAAGTGCTAATTTCATAAGCATTGCCGCATACTTGCCAAGAGGTTGATTTTTGCGGCCTATCAGTGCTACACATAACAGTAGCTGTTATGTTAAACTAAATTTCTTAGGGCTTCATTTATTGGTCCATTAAATTTGAAGAAATCTCTCTCACTTAATTTTTGATGAAATGATGAGTAGTGGGATAATATTTCATCCTTGCTCCATAAAACTTTGCATCCTGATGCTTGAGACTTGGTTATCCTCTTGAAGGATTGCATCATTTTGTAGATAACTCAAAGAAAGCTATGCTCAATTAGTCAATTCAATATTTGTAGTCAGCCTATATTTTAATTTGGCTTTAACTTTTTTGAAAGCAAACAGTAATTTTACATATATGAATCACAGCAAACAAAGACATGATGTTGGGACATCTCAGGTAATGCTTGCGGGGGTATACACTTTTTTTTTCCATGCATTTTTTTCCTTTCTAGCATTAATGCCATAAATGAAAGAAGAGAATGGGTTGAATTTTCTTCCAATCTTGCTCTATTTTCGGGTCAATACTAACTATATGTTTTGTGCATTTTGGAAAATTGAGTCGTGGTGGCTATTGGTGGGCTTTTTTTAATTTTATTTTTAATTTTTAGGGATCGTTGTCAACCCAGAAGCATGAAGTATTTAGGCAAAAATAGATGGTTTGATGGAGTTTTAAAATATTATTTACTAATATTAAATTATATTCAAATAAATTGCTATATGTTTTTTTCATACTAAGAACTTGCAACATATTGAAAGGGTCACTAAATTATCAAAGCAAGTGCTATTCTAGAATAGCAGATATAATATAGTTATTTCGGCATTTAGAATTTTCTAATACCTTTTTTGAAGCTTCACGTTGACATTACACAACTTTCTTCTTTTAAATCCTCAAGATCTTATCCTAAATTATTAACTGAGAATAATAATTAGTTATCAATCAGTCAATCTAACAAAATTGATTAATGTCCAATCACTAGGGCAAAGGCAAAAGTATATGAGCTTAAACCATGAAGGATCGAGAGGCCTAACCATGAGAATCTACATTTTTTATATTTTATGAGCTTAGTCTTATGTGTTTATGTAATTTCATATTTTTGGTGTTTTAAGTGTTATGTTTATTTCATATTATTATATTTTTCTTTGTTAGTAGTCATTTTGCGCCCAATACCCAAACTGCTTTGTTCAGTGAGCAGGTCAGGTCAACCCGGTAATCCAGTGGGTCGGGGTTGGGTTCAAATTTACGACCTGTTTACAAAATCGGGTCGGGTTCGGGTCAACCTGTTTGGACCTGGGTCAATTCCGGGATCGATTAGAACCCGTCCCGACGACCTATTTTAACACCCCTAATATAGGTAGTCTAGGTACTTTCCTAGTGGGTCCAAGCAAGGAGCAAGTGTGGGTCAGCTCCTCTCTCTCCCCTTTACCTTTCATTGTATGTTTGAATGAAGATGTGTGTCTCTTCATTTAAATTCAGTTGTCTAAATACTCCTTTGGATTGAAATGAAGTGTTATTGTTGTGCTTACACGTTTTAGCGTGAATTCCAAAGAGGGTAGAAGGCTTGGTGGCCGACTATACTCAAGAAGATTGGCTGATCTCTTTGAAACCTTACTTTGATAAGTAGTTTGTCTTTTTCTTTTTTCCTGCAATCTCCTCAACTGTAATTTCTTTATTTGTGTTCTTCCCTTAGTATTACAACTTAGAAAAATCTTAAATCTCATTCCATCCCTCTTAATCCAAGTAAAATTACCCCTAATTAGTATTGGTCAGGTTTTCTGGAATTGCTAGACTAGTTTCATTCTTGAAAGCATTTGACCAACATAAACTACTCAAAAACCCACCAAAATCTCTATATCATTATTAAACTGTCACGACCCGTCCCGGATGCTAGATCTAACGAGGCGGGTACGAAAAGTCGGACGGTAGTACATTTCCAAAAGTGTAAATTTTCTCATCATCAAAACTTTTCTATAAACTGAAGAGCCACTAATAAAAAAAAATTTCTATTTTACCTGCTGTCATTTGCACCTCGCCTTCTGTAAACATGTTCTTCTCTTTCAGCCATTACTTCTCTTAGGAACTACCTGAAACATTAAACTTGTGGTTTGAGTTTACTAAGTAAACTCAGTGAGAATTATATAAATTTATCTTTATAAAAAATGGATTAATATATACTCTTTCCTTACTTATCTTTCTGTTCCGCGAACTGTTCTGTTCGCGGTATTTAAAGGGCGGGCCGGCCGGTTCGGTTGAACCGGCCGGAAGAACCGGTTATCACATAAACATCCTATACTGCAATAATCCTAAATTTATTTAGGGTTCTTCTAGTAAACAATTTGGAGATCAACTCAATCATAATTGTATTTCCTATTTACTGTTCTAGTAATGTTACTTGTCTCCAATCACAAAACAACCACAAAATAATATCAAAACTACATAAAAAAAAAAAACTTCCAAATCCTATCTAGATGATGTCCATGAACCATTACAAGTAAAATTTCTCAATTCCAATTGATCTATAGAAATCCACATGTAAATTCCCATGCTTGGTCAGTTCTGAATAAAATTGATTGATTCGACTTCCATAGTACAATTTACTCACTAAACCTTTTTTCTATCCTTACCAAACTCTAGAATTTAAGTTGACATCCATACCTACAAATCAAGTACATGTTTGCTTGATTTTGAAATATGTAGACTGATTGCAAGAATTGTCACTTACCATACCTCCACTTTCAAATTAATTCCTCCAACCTAATTTTAACTCTTGTAGTTATTTTAGAAGAGTTCCCCATCTACCAATTGATCATATCAATGATCTAAGGTCTCACCATCCAACCATTCCACACCAATTATATCTCTAAATCATTATAGCTCAAATGAAAAATGAACAACTTGCAAACTAACCATCATAGGATATAAAAAATAATGCTTATCAATCATGACCCTATATTTTACTTAACATTTAATCTGGTGTGTGGGCTTCGAAAATTTGGTTTTTAGGTGCCCCAACCTCTCAACATTAATTTGTGTTGACCTTTATGTATTAACCGGTAGAACAAAAAAAAATCAAAATCATACCCGGCGGATCCACGAC